CAGCTGTCCATCAGCTGGTGAGTTGTTAAACAAAATGTGATGGTATCGATACAATGGAATACCATTAAATGACAAAAAGGAACAAGCTGTTGATACATACATATTACAATAAATGAACCTCAAAAACATAGTAAGTGAAAGAAGACAGATACAAGGGACTTTATATTGTATGATTCTGTTTATGTGACCTGTCTAGAAAAGGCAAATCTGTAGAGGTAGAGAATAGATTACTGGTTGCCTGAGGCTAGGGCTGGAAATGGGGAGTGACTGCAAATTGACATTGAGGGATCTTATTGAAGCAACAGAAATGTTCTAAACCGGATGATAGTGGTAGTTGTGCAACTCAGTGAACTTATTAAAAATTATTGACTTGTTCACTTCAAATGGGTGAATCTTATATGTAAATTACACCTCAGTTTTAAAAATAAAAGGGATCGTTAAGATTGAATGTACAACTAGCAACTTTGAAAAATTAACCCCAAAACAAAAAAAAATACAAGAAACCCCACTAATTTAAAGAAAGAAAAATTAAACAACCCATTGTGTAACAATTAGAAATTCAGTAACTTTGTCCTTCCAATTTGTATTTTTTACTCTTTCAATATTATACAGTTTAAGAAAATTATAAAAAATAAAGGAAAAAATCATTTGCAATTTCCCCATACAAATACATTGGTTTTCTTTTTTCTTGTTCTTTCCATTAATTATCTATGCATTTACTTTGCATATTAACAGTACGATAACAATAATCTATATACAAATTTGCATTCTGATTTTTTTTAACTTTAATGGTATAAATATTTTTCCTTGTTTCTACATAGTTCTCATAATTACATATTTAACAACTAGAATAATTGAATGGATTATTTATCCAGTCTCCTGTTGTTGAAGGGTAACACTGTCTCTATGATTGTATTATAAGTAATGCCACAGTAAATATTTTTATACATATTTTTGGGCATTTTTGTCTTCCGAAATATTTTTTCTAGGATCATTGGCAGAATTATGGATTATCAAAGCTACTTGCATTTTTACATCATTTTCTATGTATTGCAAAATTGCTTTTCCAGAAATTTGTACTAATTTGCACTGGTGATTTTTTTTTTTAAGCCAGTGTAAGATATGAAACACTAGTTAAAGGTGAACTTAGCACATTGTGGTTTATGTGAACAGGAAGGAGGTAATGTGGTATAATAGATAAACTATAAATTTAATTTTTTTTATTTTTTGAGACAGAGTCTTGTTCTGTCAAGCTGGAGTGCAGTGGCACGAACTTGGCTCACTGCCACTTCTGCCTCCCAGGTTCAAGTGATTCTTCTATCTCAGCCTCCTGAGTAGCTGGGATTACAGGGGCACACTACCACACCAGCTTATTTTTGTATTCTTAGTAAAGACAGGATTTCACCATGTTGGCCAGGCTAGTCAAACTCCTGACCTCAAGTGATCTACTCACCTTTGCCTCCCAAAGTGCTAGGATTATAGGCGTGAGCTACCACCCCCAGCCTGAATTTGTATTTCAGCACTTAATTACCTGGAGAATCACAGGCAAGTGATTTAACCTTCCTGCAGCTCAGTTTCCAGCTCAACAGACTGAGGCTAACTCTTGCTTTATAGAGTCAGTGTGGGGATGAGCTACAATGAATAGAAAGAGTCTGGCACAGTGCCTGGCTTATTGTTAAAGATAAATACGTAGTAGCCAGTAGTGTTATTTAACTATATCTCTACTCATCTAGAGGGAAATCATCTTGAGAGATAAAGGAAAATGTTGGATAAAAATAACTTTTTCTTTTGTTTCTAGATTTTTGATGTAACTAAAACTCCTCCTATCAAAGCCCTACAACTCTGTACTCTTCTTCCATATTATTCAGCTCGAGTACTTGTTTGTGGAGGGGATGGGACTGTGGGCTGGGTCCTGGATGCAGTTGATGACATGAAGATTAAGGTATTAGTCTTTAAAAACTACTACAGAACGACTTCTGAGATAAATATACTATACATATACATGTACACATACACATTTTTTTTTATTTTTTTTTTTTTATTTTATTTTATTTTTTGAGATACAGTCTCGCACTGTCACCCAAGCTGGAATGCAGTGGCACAAACACAGCTAACTGCAACCTCCATCTCTCAGGTTCAAGCAATCCTTCTACCTCAGCCTATAAAGTTGCTGGAACTATAGGTGTGCACTACCACACCTGGATAATTTTTGTTTTTTTGTAGGGACAGGGTTTCACTATGTTGCCTGGGTAGCTCTCAAATTCTTGGACTCAAGCAGTCCTCCCACCTTGGCATCCCAAAGTGCTGGGATTACAGGCATGAACTACCATGCCCAACCTAATATAGAATATTTTTGCTTTATATTTTTTATTATGCAGATGAATATTAGACATTGCCAGTTTCAAATAGTTAAGAATGAGATGTTTTGATTAAGCATTTAGCACAAACTTTAGCAAAACAGCCTACAGTTGTTATATGTGTATCTTTACTGCCTTGATCTCATGAAATTTTACAAAATGTTATTACCCAGTAAATAGTCTGCAGAGAAAAATCTAAAACATCTCTTCTGTATTCTAGGGACAAGAAAAGTACATTCCGCAAGTTGCAGTCTTGCCTCTGGGAACAGGCAACGATCTATCCAATACATTGGGTTGGGGTGCAGGTTATGCTGGAGAAATTCCAGTTGCACAGGTCTTACGAAATGTAATGGAAGCAGATGGAATTAAACTAGATCGGTAAGTTACATTTCTCCAAAAAGTAGATTTCTTGAGATTTAGTCATAATTGTTTGATTTAAAATGAAGACTGGTCCAGATGAAAAGTGGCATGTAATTTAAATGTGAAAGACTCTATTAGTTGTATTTACACATAGATGCTGGTGTTTTGTTTTATTATGTAAGAGTCAAAGTAATAAGTTATACTGAGTACATATCCCTAAATTTGCATGCTCATATACATGTGGTTACTCTTTTAGATGGTATTTTAATAGAAAACCCTCATTTATCCAAATATCCAGAGTACAAGGTTTATTGTAAAAACTGCTGGGTTTTTTGGTTTTTTTTTCTGTTTTTTAGATGGAAAGTTCAAGTAACAAATAAAGGATACTACAACTTAAGAAAACCCAAGGTATGTTGTTAGTGCTTCAGTTGGAAGTAGTTTCAGCTTCACTGCACAAGATTCAGCACTCTGTGGTGAGATACAGAGACCTGGTGCTTATCTCAAGGGAGCTGGCTGTGGAGCAGAACAGAAACTTCTAAGCTTACCTCACAAACTGGACTGAAAATGTGTTATGGGAGAGAACAGGGTGCAGGTGTGGTTAGTTCTGCCCTAGCTGATCAGGCTGAGAAGATTCAGAGAAAGTGATATGGGAGTTGGTCCTTAAAAAAGCAAAGGACTTACCAGGCAGAGGGAATAGAGGCGAGAGTGCAAAGCATGGTTAGCAAGTAGCAAATAATACAGAGCTAGCAGATCTATGTTTTTAAAAGATACTCTGGAGATAATGTGAAAATAGCATAGAAGCCTGCACTAGGGAGAATCAGGATGAGGACATTTTAGAGGTAGAATTCATGAGTACTTGACAACTGATTAGTATAAAGAGAAGAGAGAACATACATATTACTACTAAATTTCTAGTTTTTATAACTGGATGTATGGAAATGACTAAGAAAAATACCAAGTTTCAGGTTTGCCTGGGAAGAAAATAAGATAGATATTGGGCATATCAATCTAAAAGTCTTTGAAGTATTGAACAAGAAGTTGGAAGTTTAGACTTATTGCTCAGGAATAAAGACAGAGCTAGAGATGCAAATTGAGGAATCCAGACTGGGTTAGGAAGTAAAATAAACCAGGGTTGGGGCAAGGGGAGTAACCCAAGTTGTGAGATTCAAGTCCCTAGTTATCAGCCTTTGAACTGAAGCTTTATTTCTGGTAATTGTTTAAATGCTGAGAATGCATGAGAGAATGTGGGGAGTGAGAGGGGAAAAGAGAGCCAAGAACTACATTTTTTTTTTTTTTTTTTTTTTTTTGGAGATAGGGTCTCACTCTGTCACTCAGGGTGGAGTGCGGTGTTGTGATTACAGCTCACTGCAGCCTTGACCTCTGGGCCCAAGCAGTTCTCCCACCTCAGCCTCCCAAGTAGCCTGGACCACCAGCATGTGCCACCATGTCCAGATAGCTTTGTTTTCGTTTTGTCTCCCTATATTGCCTGGGCTGAAATTGAACTCCTAGGCCCAAGCAATCCTCCCACCTCAGCCTTCCAAAATGTTGGGATTACAAGCTTGAGCCACTGTGCCCAGACAGGAACTACATTTCGAAAATAGATATATTTAGATGACACAGATTGAGAGGCCATGAAAAGAGACTAAAGAATGTAGTAAGTAAATAAGGAGAAAACAGAAAGAGAACTGCAATAGGTGGGTGATAAACAACAAAATAATGCAGACTTTAAAGAAGAGCATTTGGGGAACACTGACGCATGTTTCTCTGCTTCTCTGTGTCCTTGCCACTAAAATCCCTCTAAAATGGTGATACCTATCTTGTATAGATCTTTGAGAAAGGGCAAAACCCTAAGGACAAAGAGATCACAGCAGTCTTTAAGAAGCCAAAACTAGAAAGGTTAGCATATTGAAAAAAGCTGAAAAGTACCTACACTGCAGAAAACTAAGGAAGAAACCAGTTTATTGAGCAGAACCAAGCAAAGGCTTAGGAATTCAGGTCACCACATCACTTAGAGAGCAGTAGTATAAAGCATGTCTGAAAATAGAAAGAGTAAGCCGAAGACGCTGTTTGTCCCTTAGATCACTTCCCCTTTCCCCAGCTTCATGTAGTCATTTACTACCCCCCTCAATTCAGGTAGTAGATTGGAGGTTTACTCTGGAAAGTTTAAGCTATAGAGACTCTAGCCAGCTAAAGACATACCAAAAATAGATTTAATGCAAAGTGAGATTACTGGCCCTTTTCATCCACTCAACTTCAAGAATAGTGACAGAGAGGATTTCTCTCTGGGGAAGCTACTTGCCCAAGATATTTGGTTGTCCCTTAGCAAAAGGACCAGATTTTTGCACTTTATCTCTATAATGGAGCTTATCCCCTAGCAGGACCTGCTTTTGGATGCAAAGTTCACAGTTGGCCTTTTATACCTTATTCTTAAAACATGAACATATACAGTTAAGGATCGGAGGCACAAACAAGCACTTAAGGAAAGCCTCTACCGTGAGAGAGCCCCAAAGAAACTAAAAGAAAGAATTGTAGGAAACACAGTCCAGCAATTCAGGGAGCAGGACTAATGTTCTCAGAGAAAAATGAAAATATTAATAGAATAGTGTTCTATAAAAGGAACATTCAGAAACACACGCCCCGAAAAAGGCTCTTATAAACTAAAATTCCGTATTCGATTGGAAAGTACAGTTGAAGACACCACTCAGAAAATAACAACAGAAAGCAAAGGAACTGGACATGGAGGCACATGCCTGTAGTCCCAGTAACTTGGGAGGCTGAGGCAGGGAGATTGCTTGAGCCCAAGAGTTCAAGGCTGCAGTGAGCTATCATCACGCCACTGCACTCCAGCCTGGGTGAGAAAGTGCAGATGAAACGCCATCTCTAAAAAGAGAAAGAATACAGAAGTAGTATTTAAAATTTAAAAATCAAGAAATGGCCAGGCATGGTGGGTCATGCCTGTAATCACAGAACTTTGGGAGGCCGAGGTGGGTGGATCACCTGAGGTCAGGAGTTTGAGACAAATTAGCCTGGCGTGGTGGTGGGCACATGTAATCCCAGCTACTCAAGAGGCTGAAGCAGGAAAATTGCTTGAACCTGGGAGGCAGAGGTTGCAGTGAGCCTCGCACCACTGTGCTCCAGAAAATAGATTAGAGAAAGTATTAAGAGATCATTTAAAATTGTTCCTGTGCTCAAAAGTATTTGTCAGGTATCATAGTGCCTGAAATGCCAACATTAAAGATGTCTTTTTTTGATAGTAGCCAATCTTACAGGTGTGAAGTGATAGCTCATTGTGGTTTTCATTTGCAATTCTCTGATGATTAGAAATGTTCAGCATTTTTTCATATACAGGTTGAATATCCCTTATCCAAAAAAATGGTTGGGACCAGAAGTATTTCAGATTTCTGATTTTTTATTTTGGAGTATTTGCAGAATATGTAGCCATTGAGCATTTCTAATCTGAAAAGCTGAAATCCAAAATGCTCCCATGAGCATTTCCTTTGAGTGTCATGTCAGTGCTCAAAAGGTTTCAGATTTGGGAACATTTCAGATTTCAGATTTTCATTTTAGGAATGCTGAACCTGTATCTGTTGGCCATTTTTATGTATTTTGAGAAATGTCTCTTCAAATCCTTTGCCCATTTTTTAATAGGGTTATTGGTTGTTATTGAGTAGCTTGAGTTCCTTCTACCTTTTGGATATTGGTTCCTTATGGAGTGTATGATTTACAGATATTTTCTTCTAAGCTTTGGGTTGCCTCTTCACTTCACTCAATTGTTTGCCTTTGCTGTGTAGAATCTTTTTAGTGTGATGCAATCCATTTTGTCTATTTTTACTTTTATTGCCTGTGTTTTGGGGGTCATATCAAAAAAATAACTGCCCAGGCCAATGTCATGAAGCTTTCTCCTTATATTTTAGTACTTTTATAGTTTCAGGTTGTACATTTAAGTCTTTAATCCATTTTGAGTTGATTCTTTATAAGGGGTGAGATAAGGGTTGATTTTCATTGTTCTACATGTGGATATCCAGCTTGCCCAGTACCATTTATCGATGAGACTGTCCTTTCCCTATTGTGTGTTCTTGGCACCTTTGTCAGAAATCAGTTGGCCGTAGATACGTGTATTTATTTTGGGGTTTCCTATCCTATTTCATTGGTCAGTAATAGCAAGTGTTGGCAAGGATGTGGAGAGGAGAGAATCCTTGTACACTGTTGGTATTGTAAATTAATACAACCGTTTTGGGAAACAATATGGAGGTTCCTCAAAAATCTAAAACTAGAATTACCATATGTTCCAGCAATCCTATTTATAGATACATACCCAAAGGAATTGAAATCATTATATCAGACAATGTCCGTGTTCCCATGTTCATTGCATCATTATGTACAATAGCCAAGATGCAGAAATAACCTAAGTGCCCATCAGTGAATGAATGATTTTTTAAATATGCCATATATACACAATGGAAAACTAGTCAGACTTTAAGAAAAAAGAAAATCTGTCATTCTTAGCAACGTAGCTGAACCTAGAGGACATTATCTTAAATAAATAAGCCAGGCACAGAGAGACAAATACTGTATGATGTCCCTTATATGTGGAATCTAAAAAATCAAACTCAAGAGTAGAATTGTGGTTACCAGAAGCCGTAGGGGATAGGAGAGTAGATGGATAAAGGGGAGACATTGGTTAATAGGTACAAAGTTTTAGTTAGATGGGAAGAATAAGTTCTGCTATTGTACAGCTTGGTGACTATAGTTAATAATAGCGTATATTTTCAAATTGCTAAAAGAGAAGATTTTTTTTATATGAGACAGGGTCTCACTCCGTTGACCAAGCTAGAGTTCAGTGGCATGATCACAGCTCACTGCAGCCTATACCTCTTGGGCTCAAGTGATCCTCCAATCTTAGCCTCACTAGTAACTGGGACTAAAGGCATATGCCACCACACCCCGCTAATTTTCTTTTCATTATTTTCAGTAGAGACAGGATTTTCCTATGTTGCCCAGGCTGATCTCATACTCCTTGGCTCAAGCAATCATGCCACCTCAGCCTCCCAAAGTGCTGGGATTACAAGCATGAACCACCGTGCTCAGCCTAAAAGAGAGGATTTTAAATGTTCTCACCACAAATAAATGATAATATTTGAGGTGATGGATATGCAAAAAATAAATGATATATTTCTCATTCATAGCAGGATGTATTACTACTCCGTAGTAAAGCAGAGCTGAGTATTTAAAAATATTTGTTTATCAGAAATCATTCCTCCGAAGATGGACAAAGTTTCACACCACTTAGATGATTCAAATAAGAAGACATATTCTCAGCCATTTGCTATCATTAAATAAGATATATCATTAAAAATAAATATGCTACAATCAGGTAGGGTCTCCTTAACTCTAGAGAATAACATCTTAAACAATCAAATACAAGAGGGAACTTCATTGCTCTATACATTCCAAGAAGTATTTTGTGCCCACCTGGTGCCAGGCACTGTCCTAGGTGCTAGAGTTTCAGTAATGAAGGCCTTGCCTTCATGAAGCTTATGTTGCCCTACTCTTAGTTTCTGAATAAAGGACCCCTAGGAAACTGGGGGAACAAATTCAGTTAAAAAATAAAGACAAATTAATGTATGTTGACATATTTTACTTAAGATGTTTACAGGGTTTTTTTGTAAACAACTAGGATTGAAAATTATATTTTGGCAGTGAAGAGACAGACATTTAGTGAATCACAGTTCTATAAGAGATGAATGGGAAAAGGATGAAAAGAACAGGTGACCAAATTTAGACTTAACATCAAAAGGATGAAGAGCAAAAGTCAGAATTTTTAGATGGCAGAAAGAAAGCATGAGAACTCATACCTGATCTCACTTTTTTCAGTGAGGCAAGAATAAAGATCATCTGAACATAACAAAGGCAAGCGGAGGCTGGTTATCAGGGACTTGAGAAGAGTTGCAAGTTTTGAAATAACCACTAGGAAACAGAAGAAATGAGAGATCTACAGGATTACTGTGCCCTATTAGTGGTTGTGGCCAGCCATCCTTGGAAATAACTTTGTAGCAGGATCATAATTATAAGATTCTCACCTCCAGCGTCCAGCAACCTGGAAGTAGAACAGAGAAAACAGTTTGATTTAGAGAAGATTAACAAGTAAGGCTGAGAAGAGGTAAAAGGGTGTTGGAGCAAAGGATGGTGTTGAGTACAGTCATTGAAATGATTGACCTTGGAATCCAGGCCACGTTGGGAAGTAAGATAAATTAAGGGGAGACCAGTAGCCTGGGTTAGGACTAATAGAAGCTGAGAGCTTGGAGGTTGTGATAAATGTGAAAAGCAAATGTAATGGGAACACAGGCGTGAAAAGCCTGGAAGCATCAAGTAGAGCCATTGTAGATGGTAAGGTGTGAGATGTAGCATATAAAACAGAAGTGGAAGATGAAATTTACATCTGTAATTATCAGCCTTGAACGGAAGTTTTATTTCTGGTAACTTCACCAGACAGTACAAAGTAGCCATACAAGACTAAGATTGACATTTAATTATGACTCAGGCTTAGGTGGAACCTAAGCCTAACCTTGCTTATTCTTACCCTTTCTCACAGGAATTCACAATGAACAACTATTTTTCTGTTGGACCTGATGCTCTCATGGCTCTCAATTTTCATGCTCATCGTGAGAAGGCACCATCTCTGTTTTCTAGCAGAATTCTTAATAAGGTGTGTTGGATAAAATAACATTTCCTGCTTATCATCGAAGGTACAGTAAAAATCAATAGTTCAATTATATTTAGCACTCTTAGATTCAGATTGAACTAACTTACAGGAATATTTACCTGCTCTGTTTTGTGTAGGACTGTCAAATCAGATCTTTTTTATTAATTAGATCTTTAAATGTATTTTATCAGGCTGGGCACAGTGGCTCATGCCTGTAATTCCAGCACTTTGGGAGGCAGAGGCAGGTGGATCACTTGAGGTCAGGAGTTCGAGACCAGCCTGGCCAACATGGTGAAACCCCGTCTCTACTAAAAATACAAAATTAGCCAGGTATGGTGTCAGGTGCCTGTAATCCCAGCCACTTGGGAGGCTGAGGCAGGAGAATCCCTTGAAACTGGGAGGCAAATGTTGCAGTGAGCTGAGATCACACCACTGCATTCCAGCCTGGGCAACAGAATGAAACTCCATCTCAAAAAATAAAAATCTTTATCAATGTATTTTATAACTCTAACAAATTTTTTAAATTCAAATTTGGGATGTTTTATAGCATATTTTGCTTAGGAACTGAATTGAATATGTGATAGCTTATCTTAAATGGCAGCTAAAATTGGAAGAAAATTTTAGGCAGAATAAATTTTTGATAAAGTCATTAATGGAAAAGATTTCATTGGTTTGAAAAACCTCCAAAAGGCAGATGAGGTAAAGAAAGGAGCAGTTTGTTTGCCACAGCTTTGAACTAAGGTCATCTCTGGTTTCCAATACAGTTGATTCCTTTGATGGAGTTTTGCTTAGGAATTTTTTTAATGACATTTGATGATTGACCAACAGGATATCAAAAATAAATGCAGTTGTATTCCTGGTTCTGTTTTACAAGTATTTCAAATTTTAAAATAACTCCCTTTTATTAATATAGTTACTAATGTAATAAGTATTGCTATTTAGTCAGTTGATAATGAACTTATCTCACTGCTTATATCAACCTTTCTGTATTCAAAAGTGATTAGAAAATGTTTGCTGGATTAATCTGCATTTCTACTGTCCTTAAGTAATCTGAAGTACTAAGAATAAATGGAATTTTCTAACTCAAATATATTTCTTTATAAAATATAACATTTTTGATAAATTGGGAGAAAACACCATTTAGAAAAAAATCACTTCTATCCCACATTTCCCCTGAGAAAGAGGCTAATTAAACCCAAATGGAATGGCCTATATTGTCATCTTCCAAAAAGAAGGATGAGTAATATCTCATCTACTGTACCAGAGTTCATCTAGCACTTTTAAACTATTAATAGCATAATAGAATAAAATGTAAAATAACAAATGATGCCAAAAGTATCTGTAATATGTTAAAGGCATTTTTACATTGTTTTTTAATTATATATTTCCATTGCTGCTCCTCATGGGTTCCAATTTTATCCTTTAAAATTACTAGAATGGAGGTGTTGGTTAGGGCCAGAGGTTGCACACCAAAAGTATCCCTTTTGGTTGCCCTTCTTTTCATCAGTGTCTAGTCCACTGTAAGGAAAATGTGCTTCATTCAACATTCTTGTCAGGGAGCTTTGATACAGCGTTTTTTTTCTTAATGTTTAAAGGGTTAGATTGTTTTAATATCATATTTTCTGTCTGTTTTTCATAGGCAGTTTACTTATTCTATGGAACCAAAGATTGTTTAGTGCAAGAATGTAAAGATTTGAATAAAAAAGTTGAGGTAAGCTATTAATACTTTTTTTTAAGTTTTAGGTGGTCTCTGAATTATGAAGATTTTTAAAACAGAAATGCTAAAATTTCTGTTAATACATTTTGTCAGCATATATAGAGTATTTATTTGTGTGCCAAGCACTTTGCTACATGCTTTATACACATTGTCCCTCTAAATTCTTACCACAATTCTATTAAGGCATGTATTGTATTCACATTATACAGAAAAGAAAAGTATTTTAAATGAATTTGCCCAAATTCTGTCATTTAATGCCTAAATGCACATGTAATCAGGACATGAACTCAGATTTATGTAAATCCGGAGTCTGTTTAACTATTAGGGTGAATGGCCTCCATTCATTCATGATAGATAATTTACAATTATCTAATACAGAGCCTGACTCAACATAAAGTCGCAGAGGAAGTTTAAATGAAAAGTTGAATTCAGATTACTTTTGTGGGGTATCTCTCTTACATACCAAAATAAAAATGTATAAGTAGTAAAAATAGATTATTAATGATGGCTTATTGTGACAGCATCTCTGATGTGATATGGCAGTCTTATATGTATTCCTTGCTTGATTCCAAAAAGAACCTGTAATGGTTAATAGCAACAACGAAAACATTAATTCAGAGAAACCTAGAAATAATAAAATAAATAAAAAGAGATCATAAACAGCTTGGGAAAAGAGACAATGAGCAGGGAGTAAGGAGCCTGATTACACATTAGCCAAGGGAAAATGTTGCTGTTAGGCATAATGTTTAGCTCAAAGCCTCTGGGCAGCCATGGCATGAAAGAGCAAGATTTTCTGTTAAAAAGAGGATCATAGCCGGGCGCGGTGACTCACACCTGTAATCCTAGCACTTTGGGAAGCTGAGGCGGGGCAGACGGCCTGAGCTCAGGAGTTCAAGATCAGCCTAGGCAACGTGGTAAAACCCCGCCTCTACCAAAATACAAAAAATTAGCCTAGGGTGGTGGTATATGCCTGTAATCCCAGCCACTTGGGAGGCTGAGGCAAGAGAATTGCTTGAACCTGGGAGGCAGAGGTTACAGTGAGCCAAAATCATGCCACTGCACATTCAGCCTGGGTGATGAGCAAGACTCCATCTCCAAAAAAAAAAAAAAAGAGTGTTATGTTACTTTATCATATTTCCTTTTTCCTGGACTTTGATAGTATTAGTAAAGAATAGGAGCATATAAAATACCTTTACTTTATTGTCTTACATTTTATTTATACAAAAATACAAATTATTTTTACTTATACGGAAACAAAATTTTATATATATACCTAAAAATAGTCACTGTCCTCAATACTGGAGGTACAGTGATAAATTCCTTGCTCTACCTTTACAGTCTAGGATGAAGAGAGATATTTAAACCAGTCTGGGCAGAGTGGCTCACACCTTTAATCCCAGCACTTTGGGAGGCCAAGGTGAGAGGATTGCTTGAGGCAAAGAGACTAGCCTGGGCAACGTAGCAAGACCTCATGTCTACAAAAAAATTAAAATAGCCAAGCATAGTGGCATGCACTTGTGGTCCTAGCTGCTCAGGAGGCTGAGGCAGGAGTATCATTTAAAACCAGCAAGCGGACGCTTCAGTAAAACATGATTATACCACTGCACTCCAGCCTGGGTGACAGATTGAGACCCTGTCTCCAATAAAAAAGCAGAAAAGATATTTAAACCACATTGCAGTGCAGTATGAGAAGTGATAATGAAAGCATGTGGTCTTAGAGGAACAAACAAGAGTAATATGTAACCTAGAAGCTACAGAGACTAGGGAAAGTGGCAGTATAAACAAGTCTTTCTGGAAGAAGTGACAAGCTGGAATCTGAAAATAAGTAAGAGTTAGCTAAGAGAAGGAGGAGGGGAAGATTGCTGTAGGCTAAAAACAGCATGTGCAAAAGGCCCAGAGGTGCACGTGGCATATTTGAGTGAGTTCAAGCTGGAGCATAGCTTTCAGGAAGGACAGTGATAAGAGCTGAGGCTAGAGAGATGGACAGATGTCAAATCACAGTGTCATATTTGCCTGGTATTAGAGCTTGGATTTCATCATGGGCATTGAAGGGTTGAAGTGAAGCCATTGAAGGGTTGTAATTACAGGATGACATATTTGCATTTTTTAAGTGTCAATCCGACTGCTCTGTGAGGGATGCATAGGAGAGTAAAGCTAGAGGCAGATAGACCAGATAGGAACATTTTAGGGAAGAAATGGTGGAGAGAAAGACTGAAATAGCATCAGCTGTTTTTAGTGATTAAGTGAATGTGGAGGGTAAATTCAAAGAAATCAAAGATAACTCCCAGGTTTCTGGCTTAAACAGTTGGGTTGGGGGGGTGAGTAACCTACTTACCAGGAAAGAGTTAAGTAAGAGTTAGCTAAGAGAAGGAGGAGGGGAAGACTGTTACTCTTTCCTGGTAAGTACATTGGGGAACAGAGAGCGAATTGCAGAACAAGTTGCTTGATCAGTTTTTTACATAGGAGTTTTTGGTGCCAGTCCAGGGACATGTTTTGTAGGCAGTGGATAGATGGATCTGGCCCAGTTTACTTTCCTGAGAATGAACATCCGGGGAAGCAGAGTCTGTAGTTTCCAGGAAGCAAAGGGAAGCAGATTTTAGGAAAAGAGGAAGGGAGTCAACAAGTGTCAGGTGCTACTGAAACAGCAAGATAGATAAGGCCTAAAAAATCATGGGGCTTAAGAGAAAGGACATTATTGATGATGTTGATAGAAGCAGTTCCACTGCGGAGATAGAAAAGGCCAAATGAGAGGCCCTGAGTGAGAGGTACGGAGTGTCTTCTACATGTGCATCCCTCACACATAAGCACATTTATGAAAATGGATGTGAATTCTAAATAGATATGTATGGAAATAGTGTGCCCTGTAGTCACTATCTATTTGTGTTTCTTTAAAGCTAGAACTGGATGGTGAGCGAGTAGCACTGCCCAACTTGGAAGGTATTATAGTTCTGAACATTGGATACTGGGGCGGTGGCTGCAGACTATGGGAAGGGATGGGGGACGAGACTTACCCTCTAACCAGGTATGTACATTTGTTGTCTGTTTTTTCATGTCACTATTTTATTTAAAGCAATCTCTTGTTTATATACTTTAACATTTTTCCTCAAATTTTCTTTTTTGTATATCTCATTAGTTATAAATATTTTAAAGTTGATGGTCCAACTGCATTAAAAAGCAATTGCTCTAGCATAACTGATTTTATTTTATTGTATCATATAATCCATATTTTCTTTTTCCAATTTTAGGCATGATGATGGTCTACTGGAAGTTGTTGGAGTATATGGGTCTTTCCACTGTGCTCAGATTCAAGTGAAACTGGCGAATCCTTTTCGAATAGGACAGGCACATACAGTGAGGGTAAGTGAAAAATATAGCTGTAACAGGCTGATTTGTCCCAGTCCATTTCTAAGCTGTTGATGTGGAAAGTATACATGCTATAACTTTCTTTAAACAGTGGTTTATGGCTGTTGCACCTGGTCAGTCTACACCAGGGGCTTGAGTGGGATGAGGAAGAACAGAAATATGGCTCAAGATCCATGAGATAAAATATTCACTTGAAAAACAAATTCCTTAAACAATCAATGAATAAAAACATATTCAGATTAATATTTTCTAAAAATGAAATGCATAAGGGTTAAGGGATTGTAGATGGTATTATTAAGGAAGACCTTTCTAAATGTTGGGGGACTGACTTTTAAACATTATTTGTTCCCTAATATCAGCTGATTTTGAAGTGCTCCATGATGCCAATGCAGGTGGATGGAGAGCCTTGGGCCCAAGGGCCCTGCACTGTCACCATAACTCACAAGACACATGCAATGATGCTATATTTCTCTGGAGAACAAACAGATGATGACATCTCTAGTACTTCGGATCAAGAAGACATAAAGGAGACTGAATAGATGGATGAGGGAGTGAAAACTGCATAGAATCCTCAAAGCAAAGTAGATACATGTTCATCCAAAAGTATTACCAGAATCTCTTATCAGCATTCAGTCTTAATTTCGCTAGTAGTATAATGGGTATACATTTTTGTAAATAGCATCCCCAAGCCAGCCAGATTCCAGTTATTCACAAATGTTTATTCTTTTTCAGCAAAGTACTTTGAATGAATAGTATTAACTTTTGAAAAGTCATAAAAAGTTATATGAAAGTGAAAATTTTTTATGACTGTTTTGAGAGTGGGACTGACTCTGAAGTATGTGCTGTCTCTTATTTTTGAACCATGCATTTGATGGACACACATTGGATGGACATATGTCTCCAACAAGGTGTGGGTGGAAAGATCATTTCCATCTTCATTTTTAAGATGGTGACACTATCACATTTTAAAAATTAACTTGATTTTTTGAGAGGAAATGATTACTGTCAAACCAGCATGGTTAATTGTGGGCATCCTCCAGCAGCATGCCTCTTATGATTCTCTGCAACTCAAACCAAGTGTGTGTATTGATTTCTAGGAACCCCCAAAAGGAGAACAGTAAACAAAAATAATACTTAAAATTTTCATTATAGTTTTTATTTTAGGAAGATATTCAGACACCTAAATGTTGTTTAACTCTGTAGGTAGCCATTTGAGCTGAAATTCAGGATCTATTTTAGTGTAGCCAAAAGAGAAACAGATAAATTAACTGGTAAGAAATAAGATTCACAACACTTTGGATTGTAATTTCTAGGTTCTGAGCTGAACAGTTCATCAACTTCTCTTTTTATTAAAAGACAGTGTCGACACTTCAAAAAATGTGCTTAAAGGAAACTTATCAGTGAGATTAATTGCTTAGGAAACACTCAAGGCTGACTGATAAATTTCAAAAATTCATTGGTCTTGTAGTATTTTCAAATATGGTAGTCTTTTAACAGAATTTAAGTGGACAGAAATCTCTGCTAAAATGTTTATATTATATTTATTTTAAAATGAGAGATATATTTTTAAAGTATTTATTATTTACCTTGTGGTATGATACCTGTGTTTAGTGTTTACATTCTGTAGCTTTATTTAATAAGTTAAATTGATCACATAAATTCTGCTAGTCACAATCAGATAGAAATTTAGCTGATTAATTAATAAAAATCCTAATTTAATTCTCCTGACAGATAATCTAGATATTCTCATTCCTCATTGTTTTGAAAAAAGGAGGGCATAAAAAGCACTAGGGAGCTACTTTTAGATAACTGAAAACTTTGTTTCATTGTTTCATTTGCCCCTCAATTGCCACAAACTTACTGAACGGCTAGTTTCATGGTTCCCATTAGAGGGTGCTCTTTCACTGCTGTTGACCCAGTCCATCCCTTCATGTCCCACAGGTAGGCAGACCCAGTGGGCATCCAGCCTGGTGTTTTTCTGACAGATGGCCCATTTGTAGGCTTTGTGGTCTTTAATGACAGTAATCTCTGAAAGATCAGAATGTATCACCCAAAGCACCATTAGCTGTCTTTGAGGGTCTGTTATGAATCTGTCATCTGTGAATTGCCGTAAACCTAAGTTTGCCACACTTTAGGCCCAGACCATGTTTTCAGAGAGCAACTTAGTAATGTATACAGTAGTCAGTACGTTTTATGAAATACGTTATTTTGCTAAATTAACCTCTTCCAGATCTCAATGAGTGATCTTAAATTCTAGTCTTGAGAAACTTTGTGAGCATGTCTGTTTTGAGCTTATTTATACCTACCTTTCATGGTAGGTAACCATGGCAGTGGGGATGGCAGAGTTTTTGGATTTTTTTTAATGGGTCATTCATGTTCTGAGTGTTATGAAGTTTATGCTTTCATTCATGTTCACAATTGTTAAAGATATCACATTTTATAAATACACTGTTAAATTCACTTTGCTGTAGGTTATAGTTTACCTGTTATATAATTCATAGTGCTAATTGTAGAAGCAAAGTAAATAATCAATTTAGGATGTTGAAATTAAAATAATCACAAGAACTAATATAGTTTCTTTTAATTGCTAAAACTATAATTAAAAATTATAATTTTAATATTAGCCATAATATTACACTGTATTTAGAACAGGCTTATGTACAATGCCCTCATTTATTTAAACAAATTGATTTTTTGGTTATCATAATCTAGTAATGTTTTTGCATCACTATTGATTGTCGTGGAGTTCTTCTGCTCTCTTATTCACTCATTTAGACTTCTTTTAGGGAAGCTATTTCAGAATAGCATATGATAAAACATATCACTGTCTTGTTTTTGCAAAATTACTTTTTTGGGCACATCGACCCAGCATTTCAAATAAATGTATAGGCATGTGCCTTGTTTAAATAAGTACAATTTGTAAGACTTTATGTTTGCAAGTTACATATTAGAGTAGTGATTGTTTATATTACCAGGGATTCTATACTTTACCAAAAAAATTGCCATAAGATTTTCCTGTTCCATTTTAAATTGTCTTGATATTTAAAAAAATAACTTTTACATTCTCAGGAAGAAATACATGAACTAAATCATATCTCCATGTTTGTTTCCAGATTTCTCTCATCTTTTTACTGTCCCAATACATTCCTAACTCCTATAAACTTAGTGGCTTAAATAGTGAATACCTGGCAGCTCTTATAGATCCCATAGGCAGATGATGATAATTTTCAGTGCTTTGTCATGTTGAATAGAAATCAAACTGACTTATTTTAAAATACAAGTTGTCTACTAGTAAGATTACATGATTTAAATGTGTTTTAGGTTTTCTGCAACAAATTAGCTGTGAACCCCTAATGTAGCTAATGTTTATACAAATTTTATAGTCAAAATTATTTATTTTTATTTTTTTAGAGTGTTTCAAAAATACAGTGTTTGCTTTGTTAAATACATTTGCTTAGAGTCATAAAGTATACTATGACTCAGAAATTGTAAAGTCCATTTGCATTGTAAAAATGAGTACTACCAGCATGTCAAAAGAAAAATAATTTGCATTTGTAATATAAACTAAAATTGTATTTAATGTATTTATTGAATTTTAAATTTGCACTAACTTGAAAACTTTAAAGGTTATACTAATTTACAGATTAATGTGGACCCAAATACATAATTTGTTTGGCCAAAAAGGTCATTAGAATGGGTAATAGTTTGTGTGGTTTTCCTTCTAAATGGTAATATTGAAGCAAGAACCAGCGATTTATATTGAGAATTTTTTTAATATTTCTACCCGATTGAGGACAGTGGAATATAAGTAGATTTATTTAAAATATGTAGATATTTAAAAAATTTTTAATGTTGTTTATCCCTATCTGAATTCATTCTCAGCAACAAGACAGAAAAGGTGGTTTGGGTTTTTCTTTTAAAAAGTGTGCCCTTGCCTTTTTCAGTTTTTCCCTTGAAATCTTTCTCCTCCTGTTTCTCGGAGTACGCTCTGCAGGAGTATGCTCTGCAGCATCAGAATGCATGGGGAGGCTGTTGAAAGTAGGGATTCCTGAGCCGAGCCTTTGACTTAAAGATTCTTTGTCTCTGGAGATGCAACATAGAAACCTCTGTTTTCATTCACAGCACCTCAGGCAATTCTTAAGCATACTGAAATTTGAAAGTTTCTGGTCTGAACCTCATATATTCACATGGGGCTTTCGCCAGGTGGGATACCATGCCAAAAAACTGAATTAATTGTATGTTCCTAAAATTGTTTTTCTTCTACTCCACTGTCCCCAAAATCACTTTTCTAAAAGGACTCTATGAAAAACTTGTTTGTATCATACCCAAATTGATATATTTGTCTGAACTCTATTACATAAAAATTGGTATGATTCGTACATGGGATCAGTTTTTGGACTGCGACCCATGCAGTATTTGTTATTTGTTTGTTTGTTTGTTTGTTTTCCGTGCAATGTTGAAGGACAAGGAGTTGCTTCAGGAGCTAGTGCAACGCGCCTCCAAGGGGCAGCGAGCCATGGAGGCTCCTGCCTTCTCACTTCAGTCAGTGCAGCCACGCTTGTGTATACTGAGTTGCTGCTTCAGATCTCAGTAGATAAAATATTTCCACATTTAAAATGCTTCTATTTTTTAAAAAGGGTTTGAAAGCCACTACTATACTGACTGTCACCTAATTGATTTTCTACTAATTTTTACATATTCAGAAACTTCAAGTTTTTTTTGATGGACAGAATATTTTGGAGGTCTCCGTTGCTGCTTAGAATGTGGCCACTTGGCTATTTCACAGTTTTTAAAGCTATTTTATTGAATAGTAAAGCATTGAACTTAGCCTTCATTCCTTGTGTTTCTAATTTTAGTTTATTATCTGTGTATTTGGTTAATTTTAGATATGTAAATATACATACACATACATACATATCTATTTATCTACCTTGCCCTGACTCTGTAGTCAGTGCATGAGGCTTGCAGATCCCAAAAAGGTACATTCCAGGGTTCTGTGGAAATAATTTTAAAATGTCATCCTCTAATACAGACATTTACAAAACTTAAATGAAAATGATTGAACTTAACCATCTGCGAGAATGTCTGCAGAAAATAAATCACCTAGAAACTATAAATAGAAATGTATTGCTGAGGCCAGGCGCAGTGGCTCCTGCCTGTAATCCCAGCACTTGGGGAGGCCGAGGCAGGTGGATCACCTGAGGTCAGGAGTTGGAGACCAGCCTGGCCAACATGGTGAAACCTCGTCTCTACTAAAAATTTAAAAAAAAAAAATTAGCCGGGCACAGTGACACATGCCTGTAGTCCTAGCTATTCAGGAGGCTGAGGCACGAGAATCACTTTAACCCTGGTGGCAGAGGTTGCAGTGAGCCAAGATCGTACCACTGTACTCCAGCCTGGGCGACAGAGCTAAACTTTTTGTCTCAATTTTTAAAAAAATGTGTTGCTGGTATCAGACATCAGACCAAGCACACTTCAGTCTAAGGATGCCCTGAGCTACCTCACTATTAAAGGACAACATCAACACAGAATTCACTAAACAGGAAATAAGCTATAATCTAGAGAATTTCCCTTACATGTTACTTTTTAGTGACTAACATGGAATGTTGAAAAGGAAGAGCTGGAAAGCTAAGTTGTTTTCCTTGTTCCTCTGACATTGTCCAGGCAAGAGGGCATCCTGATCAGATGAGTAGGTTTGGCTGAGAAAAACCCTAGAGTAAGGCAGGCACCTTGTGGAGTTGGTTAATGATGGCTCTTAAGAACACTTGTTCTCAATCCAGTTCACGGCTCTGCCAGCAGTCTTTCAGATTTGAACTGCTTAAATGAACCCTGCAGATAAATTGGCATTCTCCTTTGTAATTCTGTATAAGTTTAGAGCAGCCTAGCTCGAGTCCTAAACCCCAGTCCTCTTAGAAGTGAACTGACTGCAGTGGATCCCTAAACCCACAGTGCTGAGGGCACATGTGATGACTCCACTTGCGCAGCCAGCTGGCCCCTTGTACTTTCCCCTGCCCACCACAGTCCTGTATACCTACCAGTTAATTACCCTGTGTCAATTGTTTTTGTTGTGTTGGGTCTGTATTTTTGTGGTCAGTGCCTGAAGGCACATATGTGAATTAAAGCATTTGATATGTTGAAGATACTTGCTTGTTTTTTAATAAAATTAAAAGTACAGCAGTACAGCACTTAAGTATGATACTGTGTTGTTTTTTGACACAACCACGAGTTAAAATAAGTGGCTTTGACTTAATGTCCCAGAAAATGATTCTTGGTCTACAGTCGGGGAAACATACTATGTGGCCAGTTTGGAGTCACATACTTTTGGACAGAAAGAATAAAAAATTCATATTGCATGGCCTTTGTAGCCTAAGAGCACAGAATAATACAAATGAATGTTAGGAGAAACATTCATTCTCACGCATATAAACTGGCTCCTGGCAGAGCAGAGCAGTAAATGGGATTAAATAGTTGAATTCACCTTATTTTCAGTTGGTAGAATATGGAAAAATACAGAATTTATTTGAAACATCTGAATTGGAAACCCAGCCTCCACCACTGTAATTTAACACTGGGCAATTACTTGTTCTTCCTGAAGCTCAAATTTTCTTTAAGAGTGGGAATTAATGGCCACCTAGGGGTTGCACCTGCTTATAGGAGCTAGGCAAGTGATGAAGGGAAGAGCTGTAGAGACTTTGGTAAACCAGAGCACATGATTGCTGGGAAGCAGGCCTAGTGTGAACAGAATTTATTTTTCTAGAAAAGATAGAAATTTAGAGTATATGAAATCTGATTTTTAAGTATTGGTTGGCAACTAATTATTGTCTACCATAAGGTAACGTGATTATTACTGGGGTGGGAGAGTGAATGCATCTTAATATATATGGCAGAACTATGTGTTTCCTTCCATCTGGATTTGCATAAAGCTTTGTGATGTATCAGTAACGATATGAAAAAAGCATTTTGTGGCATGTAACATCTTTTATTCGTTTTATTAGGCATTAGAGGAAGAAGATTCTGTAGTCCTGCTTTATTCTGTCATCTTTACCTGGAAATCCATTTTTATAAAATTTTTGTAATAAAAAGTCACTAGATCACTAGCCTGCTTTCTTTTAAACAGACGGTGCCAAGTGTCATGCTCCTTTTCTTGATAATTTATATGCATGAGAATATGGCTATGTTAACTGCTGAAGTTCACAAGGCAGGCTGTCTTACCCGTAATGATTCCATGTTTGAACTTCTTAAACAGCTTCGTACATTTATTTGTACATTGAAATGTTACATGCTTTTACTTTTTGTGTTATAATCTGTATTTCTGTGAGGGAGGCATTATTGGCTCCATTTTATACATTGAGAATTCAGAGCTACAGATTGAACCCAGGTCATCCTCCCTACTGCCTTTCGTCATTAACACAGCCACCAACAACAGTATTTTTAAAAGTGTTAAATATTGGCAGATGTGTCATTGTTCTGAGCACTAGGAATGCTAGTGCGGCCCTCTGAGGGATTCCCTGTGCAAGGAAACATCACATACCAAAAAATTACTCATGGAAGGAATTTGGAGATCTTGGTGAGCTAAAAGTATTACACTTGGACTACTATAAAAGAAAAAAAAAAGCAGGCACAATAAAATTTTAGAATGTATTTGAGTAAGAAGCAATTAGTGGATTGGGCAACACCAAACCCAGTGAGGATTTGATGTTTCGATGACAACATCAGAGGCAAGTATTCATAGAGTGGATACAGAAGCAAAATTAAGAAATGATTTCATTGGTTCCCTTTTTTGGCTTACTTTGTTGGAAAGTCCCCAGTTTCATGATCATATTAGTTGGCTGTTTCTGATTGGCTGAAGTTAAGTTTTGTTTCTAACATAAGCATTTACCAAAAATGTCCCAAGTTGTTTCATTTATGTTTACAGTGTCAATATGTTAGGGCTATTTTTAAGGCCTAGTTGTTGGTTTATTTGCTCAGGAACATTTGAAGCCGAGTTTTCATTTTAATTTTGCTTTGGCAGTTCCCTGCTTTTAGTCATCCTGTCAGCAAGCTGAGAATGTGACCAAATGGCGTAGCATTACTCTTAATTACCACTATTGACACAGTCTGGGAGGAAGAGTCAGATGTTATCAGTAGCTGCACTAGGGCTCAGAGTCACCCTCAGCAGTGACAGTCCATGCTGGTTTCCTCCAATTGTCTGATCCTTACGGCAGTCTTTTGACATACAAGTGACTGCTGGAAAGCATTTAATATCCTTGAAAAGACCAGACTCTGTGGATAACACCTGTAATCCCAGAACTTTGGAGGGCAAAGTAAAATTGCTTGAGCAGGAGTTCAAGACCAGGTGGACAATGTGATAAGACCCCATGTCTACAAAAAAAGGCATATTTTTAGTGACCTGGGCAGGGCTGGGCATGGAGGCTCACACCTATAATCCCAGCACTGTGGGAGGTCAAGGCAGGTGGGTTGTTAAAGCTCAGGAGTTCCAGACCAGCCTAAGCAACATAATGAAACCCCGTCTCTACCAAGTAACAAAAAATTAGCCAGGCGTGGTGGCACATACCCCTGGTCGCAGCTACTCAGGAGGCTGAGGCAGGATCACTTGGGCCTGAGAGGCAGAAGTTGCAGTGAGCCGTGATTGTGCCACAGCACTCCAACGTTGGTGACAGAGACCCCATCCCAAAAAGATACGTTAGCTGGGCAGTGCTTACTACAGCAGCACATACACTAAAATTAGAACAATACAGAGAAGATAAGTATGTCCCCTGAAGAAGGATGGCATGCAAATTCATGAAATCTTCCATATTTTACTTATAAAAGCAAGCTGTCCCCTGGTCACCTTGGGCACATGTCATCAAGACCTCCTGATGCCGTGTCATGGGCACATCCTTAATCTTGGTAAAATAAACTTTCTAAATTGGGAGAAAAAAAAATTAGCTGAGAATGGTGGCACAGACCTGTAATCCCAGCTACTCAGGAGACCGAGGTGGGAGGATCACTTTAGCTCAGGACTTCCAAGTCCAGTGAGCTATGATTGCACCACTGCGTTCCTGCCTTGGTGACAGAGGAAGACACTGTCGCTAAAAAAAATAAATTTAAAAAAGTATTGAGAGAATACAATGCACTGTGTTGGGTAAGCCATTGTGTATGGGTGAACACAATAACTACAGGAGAATAATAGCAAAGGATTGAAAAATACCCCGAGAAAAGATTCCCAGGAGCCAAGATTTAACCAACTGAAATATCAAGGGAGGCAGTGCTAATGAGATAAAAACCTTGTATTCTTGAGGGTCTTTTAAATTTTGGGCAACAATATCAAATATAACAAAACACTGTTAGGTTTTGTTAACATAAAAACACCACTTCTCACCAATTCAAGCACAAGCTCACTGCTGAGCAGCTAAAGTGTCAATAACTCCTATTTTGGGGTATGGCTGAGGTGAAATTATCTCATTGTACTGCTTGAAGAACATTCATAAATATCACTAAAACTTTTTTCAAGAGTTGCTGAAATATTAATAAGTAATTTTTTCAATTCAGAGACTCCAGGCTGAGGAAAAAGCTCTTACGAAAGAATGCAATCTGCAACCCCTTTGTATGATTGGGTTTGGGACATCACTCAGGAGGCTTGTTTCTGAGGGCTCACTTTATGTACAAGTGACCTGAGGTTCAGAATTTGATTAACATTTAAAGAGTCATCTGGTCATTTTAGGTAGTTCATAGCCCAAACGTTCCAGTCATTTAGGTGGAAAAACCTTTATATATTTGCCATTCAAGATTAACAATCCGGCCGGGCGCAGTGGCTCACACCTGTAATCCCAGCACAATGGGAGGCCGAGGCAGGCAGATCACCTGAGGTCAGGAGTTTGAGTCCAGCCTGGCCAACATGGTGAAACCCCATCTCCACTAAAAATACAAAAAAATTAGCTAGGTGTGGTGGCAGGCACCTGTAATCCCAGCCACTTGGGAGGCTGAAACAGGAGAATCGCTTGAACTCGGGAGGTGGAGGTTTCAGTGAGCCAAGATCATGCCACTACACTCCAGCCTGGGCAACAAGAGTGAAACTCCATCTCAAAAAAAAAAAAAGAACAATCCAGCATTATTGAGAGAAAGGTGCAAAGTGAATCTCATTATCCACCAGTTGGGGGTGACAAGAATGCCATAGTGATTCTTTGTCATATCTGCATTTGCACATTGCCAGGTCGAATAGTTATGGTTTAAATTTGGAGGTGGAGGCTGGGTGCAGTGACTTACACCGGTAATCCCAGCACAGGCGGGCTGATCACTAGTGAGGCAGGGCAGATCACGAGGTCAGGAGTTCAAAACCAGCCTGGCCAACATGGTGAAACCCTGTCTCTACTAAAAATACAAAAATTAGCCAGATGTGGTGGCATGCGCCTGTAGTCCCAGCTAATCAGGAGGCTGAAGTGGGAGAATCGCTTGAACCTGGGAATCAGAGGCTGCAGTGAGCTGAGACCATACCATTGCACTCCAGCCTGGGTGACAGAGTGAGACTCCATCTCAAAAAAAAAAAAAAAAAAAAAAATATATATATATATGTATACACACACACATAATTGGAGTTAGAACCAAAAATAGTTACTTGATAAAGTAACTCATATATGTCATCACTAATTAAGGATGATGATTGTTTCCTCTTCAAATATGCTCCAAGTATTTATCCAATAAACAAAACTACTTATTTTCTATAGTTGGAACTATAGAGGCATTCCATTTGCTTCTAGAGTTTCCAGTGAACCAATGCCTAATTTCAGTGAACTCTCTATGATAGGGTTAAGGGTATCATGGTTGTGTTCTGGTATTATATCTGTGTCATTATATAGAGCAGTTCAATCTCCATAATCTGTATCAAACCAAAGAGTTTCATTACAGAGGGAGTCTGGAGCACTGCTAGATTAGTCTGAGTTTTTCAGAGTCTCAGTCTGTTGCCCAGGCTGGAGTTAAGTGGCACAAACATGGCCCACTGCAACCTCTACCTCTCGGGCTTAAGTGATCCTCCTACCTTAGCCTCCCAAGTAGCCAGGGAACTATAGGCCTGTACCACTACACCTGGCTAATTTTTGTATTTATGGTAGAGACAGAGTTTCACCATTTTTCCCAGGCTGGTCTTCAACTCCGGGGCTCAAGGGATCTCCCTGCCTTGGCCTCCCAAAGTGTTGGGATTATAGGCATGAGCCAGAGCACCCAGCCTTATGGACACATTTTTCTCTAGGA